CTGCCCTTTTCTTCATTGTCTGCGCTTGCCCTCCTGGCATTTGTCTCTTCTCTACCCTGTCCCTTTGGTGCCTTCCCCTTCCCCTCCGCCTCCGCACAAGCACCTTCCTCTCCCAGCCCTTCCCCTTTCCCTCTGCACAAGCCCCTTCCCTTCCTCTCCCTTTCCTTCTCCTGTCCCTTCTGCCTTCCACTTTGTGGGGCCGGAGCCTGTGCTCTTTTCCCGGACTCCAAACCTACAACTCAGCAATGCTGTGCAACACTGTGCCCAGCAGGTTTAAAATCCCGGGCCGTAACGTTATGTCACGTCATGTCCGGGAGTCTCCCCACCCACAGGTTTGAGCATGCTGTGCAGGGCAGCAGCAGCCAGTAAGGGGCAGCTCAGAGCAGGTTGTGCACGGCAGGGACGGGGATGGGACCAGGACGGGGCCGGGGTAGGAGGACGCGTGGGGGCGGGGAGAAGGCGAGACCCGCTCCAGCTCCAAATATTGCTGGAGCATGGGCACCACGAGCCCACACAACTAGCCGGCTCTCTCTCTCTCTTTTTCAGAGTGGGTGGATGAGTGCCGGCTCCTTGTGGAACCCCTCGTTTTGCTCTGCGGAACCCCAGGGTTCCGCGAGCACCAATTGGGAAACACTGCTGTACAGACTAACTTGGCTGCCCCCTGAAATTTCTAGTGACTGTTAGGGATGTGAAAGGTTAACCGGTATCACTATACATGGATAATGCTCACTAGCTCTGGTTAGCTAGTAGGGCCTGGAGCAGTTCCCTGTAACCTAGGACTTTGAGCAGTTACATGGTTACCTTTTTAAAATAATTTTTACCTTCCTATTTGCTGTAATTTCATTTCAAATGATAGATATTCAGAATAGATCTACCATCTTGTAGAACTTGAGTTACAAAGTTCTGTACCTCCAGAATGGAGATTGTTCCTAACTTTGAAATGTTTGTAAATGTTCAAAATATGGTTCTTTCAAAAGTTTACAACTCAACATTGACTTAAGGCAGCTTTAAACTTTACTATGCAGAAGAAAAATGCTTCCCCTTTATTTTTTAATAGTTTAACACAATACTATACTTTTTGTTTTTGTTTTTTGTCTCTGCTGCTGCTTGATTGAGTTACTTTCAGTTCCAAATGAGGGGTGTTTGGTCAGTTCGTAACTCTGGTTTCTTAACTCAGGTTCTACTGATTTTGTGTTTCACAGTGTCAAGAGCTCACCCAATGTTTTTGCCAAAAGTTGTTTGATTTTTACTTGAATCAAGTAACCCATCTTCCAGTTTTCTTTCCTAAGCTCCTGTAATGCAAGAAAATTCAAGGGATAGAAGGGATGCCTATTTACTGTTGGCCTGCACAAGATAGACCCTTTCTAGATTTGGAAAGATGAACAGCACCTGTAGAATGTAAAGAGAGGCCATAAGTCACCATGATACTTGGACCTGTGTGTGCTGTCTCACGAGTAATACATCAATATTATGTCAGCATGAGTCTTAGCATGGTCTTGGTTATTGGTGATTTACATTTTATTTTACTGGGTACCCATCTTAAGTACAGACAGCTTCCTGCTGTTTGTCTGGATACAGGTCTAGGAAAAGTGTTCAGTCTATGCATTTGTTACATAGTACTCTGGGTAATTTATTTTCAAATGTGGTTTGCTCTTTAGTATGTGGATTAACTCCATCTCAGTATCTTTATGGAGAAAACTTTCAGTAGACTTGAGTATTTGGCTTGTTTTGAGACTAAAGATACCAGTATGTTTTACGTGGTAATGGCTGAATGTTTTGCAAAGAGAGTGATGTTCATTAGTCTTTCACTAAAGTATACTATGTAATTTCTATGTAGCAATACAACCAAGATATCACTGACTTGAATCAACCAGTTTTGGTCAGTCAACCTAAGAGGAGGAGAGGGCTAGAAGGTGTCTCGTCAGGACCTGTAATACTCATTCCTGAATTGTGCTACCTCACAGGTATTGTATTAATAGCTTTTCTATGCAGAAGTATCTGCCATGCAAATTGTATTAGAAGAAATATATTTTAAGACTGTATTGTGGATCGATGACAACTTCTGACAAATTAGAAATATTCATTAGTATAAATATATGTTTAGTAATGAAACCTAAATATCTAATAATTAGAGGTTAATATATGTTAACATTTAGCTGTTTTCCATTCTTGAATGCATGGTTAAAGTCCCAAGATATCCAAGAACGGGTGTACGAGGTAATATTTTTTTATTGGACCAACTTATATTTGTAAGACATACAAGCTTTTGCTCTTGTACAGATCTCTTCTGAAGATCTGTGTAAGCTCAAAAGCTCAACAGACATGGATCTAATAAAAGATACAACCTCAATCACTTTGGGTCTCTAAAATTTAACTAAATGTTTACAATAGTGTGGAGTTAAGGAATTACACAAAATTGTAAAATCATGTCTCTCTATAGTGGAAATGTATTAATTGGTTACCTGGTAAACATTACCCAAAGTTACCTGGGAGTAGCCCTGAGTCCTGCTGCAGGCAGAGGGCTGCTAGCTCCCAGCCTATGCTGGCTGGGAGTCAGCAACCTCTTGTGGGGAAGAAGGATGATGGTGGTGAGGGGAAGAAAGAGCTGTCAGCACCCAGCCCGCACAGGCGGGAAAGGAAGACCTGCCAGCAGCAAAGAAGAGGGGGAGGAGTGCAGCTGGCTCCCAGCCCACACCAACTTGAAGTCTGGAAGTCAGCAACTTTGAGTGGGGCGGAAGGGAGCTGGCAGCCCTCCCTTTCCCCTGCTGCTTTCGTTGCGGTCCTCCTTCCCTCCCATTTGCTGCTAACTCCCTCTGTGTGAGCCTCTGTGGGCTGGGAGCTAGCAGCCCTTCCCTTCTCCTTTTCTGCCACTTCCAGAAGGCACGGGTGGGCTGGGAAGCAGCCAGGCTGGAGCAGCCCCTGCCAGCAGTGCAGGGGCCTTTCCTGCCTGGCCCTGGAGTAATAGCTGTCTCCTTACTATGTGTTTCATTGAATTTTTCCATGGCTCTATGTTTAAAAAAATATGGAAGAGCAACCTTCATTAAAAGGTTTTTGTACATCTTAGGATTGACAGATAAGATGCGTAGTGATTTTAGTGTGATGAAAGATTTGGCTGTTCATACAAGACTGACACCTGAGCAAAGAAAGCATGAAGTTGGAAGACTCATTGAATACGTTCACAAGTAAGTGACTGCAAAACTTCTGATTCTTTAGGAATGAAGGGTAAACTGTCAGCTTTTACTGGAGAATGTTGTCACTTTAATTCATCGTTAGAAAAAATCTAGCCAAAAATCCTGAATTTCTGTTGAATGATTAATGGTTTTATAATATGTTTTTAACTTTTTTAAACAGGGATGATAATGTTCAGAAGGAACTTTGTGCCTGGGGTTTGAGTTTCGATTTAAATTTACTATCCTTTACGGGAAGAGTTGTCCAAGCAGAAAAGATTCACCAAGCAGAAAAAGTGGTAAATAAGTAATTTTTAATAGTTAAACATTTTTGAACAAAACAGATGTTTTGTAAAGGAGGGCTTGGTGTCATTTTAGGTTTTTTTTTTTTTTTTTTTTTTTTTAAACAAGCATCAAGAAATACATAAGAGTATTTGCTCATGTCTGTTTAACAAAGAGGTGTGTGCCTGTCACATGCACTGGTGCCCCTAAGCAGTACCCACAGAGGCTGGAATCCCCAACACCCCTAGAGTGGCACACATATGCTGCACTTTATAGGGTGCTTCTTGGCCCTTTCCTCCCCAGTTGCTTCTTAGCACCAGTGATGGTGATTGGAACTGTGTGCTTCAGCCTTAGCTGTAGCAAACATTCCCTTTGTAGAGTTGATAACTCTAATACACACTCCGGTAATCTGAAGAAGTGGGTTGTGCACACGAAAGCTCAGGATACCATCTACATATCTTGTTAGTCTTTAAGGAGCTACTAGGCTATTTTTTTTAAAGGTTTTTTTTTTTAAGTTAAGTACTTGTGAACTGTTGGATTTGGATTTAATGCACCCGAGGGAGTTGGCAGATGTCATTGCAGAGTCTTTGGCCATTATCTCTGAAAATTCGTGGAGATCAGGAGAGATCCCAGATGACTGGAAATGGGTGATGGTAGTACCCATCTTTAAAAAAGGGAAACTAGGCTATTTTTTTTAAAGGTTTTTTTTTTTAAGTTAAGTACTTGTGAACTGTTGGATTTGGATTTAATGCACCCGAGGGAGTTGGCAGATGTCATTGCAGAGTCTTTGGCCATTATCTCTGAAAATTCGTGGAGATCAGGAGAGATCCCAGATGACTGGAAATGGGTGATGGTAGTACCCATCTTTAAAAAAGGGAAGAAGGACAATCC